CGCTTAAAGAGGAAAGAAGCTGCAAATGAACAAAGTGGCGGTGGGATTGCAAAGTTAAACTTGCAGCACAAGCAAAGTGAAATAAAAATAAAATTTAACATCACTTTACCTTGCTGAGAGGAGTTGATAGCCTACGAGGATGGAGGTGAGGAAGGGGAGGAGGAGGAGATGTGAAAATTCACAGAGTTATAGCAAGGGTTGTGCACTGAACGAGATCTACTGTACAGGCAGACTGAGGAGTGGCGCTTTGTTTCAGTTGTGAATGGGGTATACGCGGGGACGCGGTGAATCATCCCGACCCATACGAGTTCTTTCAAGCGCGTCGTATCCCAAGCAAGACGTCGTATCCCAAGACATTTTTTTCTCGTCAAAAGACAACGATACAAAATTCGACGTGTTCTAAAGCGGTCCTATACCGAGGTATGACTGTATTGTTACTGGCGGCAAAGGAAATGGTGAGTACCGTGCGAGGAGAGGAGGCTTGCAAGCAAACGAATGTAAATCTCCCTGTCAGAGAGTACAGTTCAACGTAGAATTGGAGAGATGGCCCAGAACGTGAAGGAACAAGCTGATGGCGAATACGCGCAAAAGTCGCTTTCTGTGCTCCACAAATGGATGAATCAACTGATGTTGCAACACGTTCAAACCTCCTTGTGGTATGAATTCAATGGAGAGCAAAGACCATTTTTGAGAGTGATATTGATGGTCAAAAATGCGTCGGAATTAGCACTGACAGGGGGCTCATGCTGTGACAGGCCAGAGCTGTTCCTCGTGTTAAAGTTGTTGGCACCATTGAGCAATATCCATCCACTGTAGCATCCACAGGGAGGCACTAGATACATGGAAAATGCCCACTGACATGCAGACGGCATTGGAGGAATCCTTTGAATTCAATAATAATTTGCGACTCTACGTGACGAGATGGGTAGGGACGGACCACCGTCAACCACTTCTCTTGCATACTCAAGTCCACTGGCTTTTTTGAGGCGAGGTACTCACACGCCTGTTTTCTATGTATGTTGAACTTTTTAAACGTTCTGCAATCAAGCCGGCAGAGAGGCAGCTTCCTCTGGTGAACCTTTCTGTGGCTCCAGCTTCATCGTCAGATGAAGAAGAAGGGGCAGGCGATCCTGCCCCTTCGTCTGCATCATTCCACCACTGCTCACCCCAAGAGGCCTTGGATCAGCAACTTTTAATCCATCTTTGATACATTTAATCTATTTATATTTATTTAAAATGTATGTTAACTTATAACCATATGCATTTGTCTACACTTTATGTATGTATATTTGTTGAACTTCTTTTGCACCTTACGTAGCCAACCGTGCTAATCAGAGGTTGCAGGAGTTGCGTGACGAAATGAGGATTTATTTCTACTCGGGCTTTAAGTTTGAGTTTTCACATCACTTCGGTGTTTTTTTTTTCCCCGGTTAGTTAAGTTGGCATATTTGGCAGATGTTTTAAGCCACCTAAAATAGACGTAACCTAAACGGAAAAAGCCATGACTCTGTTCCATATTCACGGCAAGATATGATCAAGAAATGAGATATGTGGTGCCGTCAACTTGTTCCATCGAACTACTATTCATTTCCAAATCTTTCAGATTTTTTTGTATCTATGTTGTGGATGTATTTATCTAAATAGCCAGCCTTACTAATCGGAGGTGTTGGCGAAGGACAACAAATTAAACGCAAAAATCAGTTTAAATAAATTAGCTTTCAGTCTAGATTTAAAAGTGTATAGCTCCAGTGGCTTCCTAATATCGGAAGGAAGAGTGTTCCAGATGGCTGCAGAAGCGCATCTGAAAGCGTGCGATATGGTGACCGCCTTTGATCAATGGTTCGCCAAAAGCCGCTGCTGCGAAGATGACCGTAGTTTGCATGATAGTTTATGCTCCTTGACGAGATCAGCAAGGTATCGTGGATCATTTGTGGCAAACACTTTGTGCGTAATGAGTGCCGACCTTATAACAGTGTATTTATTCAGCAAACAGAAACCCGTGCAGCTCGGCGATCACTGGACAGACATGGCCGGATCTTACAGTACCCTTCACGACACATGCCAAAATAATTTTGTACAGGCTGCACCTTGCTAATGTTTTTGCCAGACGTCCCGTAGAGTAGTGATTTGCAATAATTGAGCCTTGTCGATATTATGCTACACACCATCGTGTTGGCTATGTCACGACTCAATAGTGCCCGAAATCCGTAGAAACCTGATGTGAAATTTGCAGGACCTTACAATATTTTGGACGTGGTGATCAAGCGACATATTCTGGTCGACTATGTTGCCGAGGCTCTTTAGAGGAGTAGAAAACAGAATCCTGGAGTCTGCGACCGCCACAACTGATCCACAATTTCTTTTCGCCTGAGCCCGAGTGCCAAACGGCTTCTCATTAAACGAGTTACTCAGTATAAACACATTCTCGCACATGTACTGCTATGCCCCACGAATGTATTTGTTGAGGTCATTTAATAAGAAGTTCACAATTTAAGGTGCGTACATTACAATTGATTCCCTTTTTCGTCGTCGTTTCTCCTATGCGGTCTTTTCTCAATACTCTGCACAGGCCACCGCTTCTGTGGTGTTGAACATTTTGCCAAATCTTGAGGAAGTGCATTATGGTTGCTGCAGGGCATCTCAAGAGATGATCCACGTGGTGTGCTGCCCCTGATAAACACGTCGGTCGGTGGCGTTGAAGCCACCCCACCCCTGTGATATCACGAGAGAGTTGCATCTGCCGAGACTTACTCTCTTCAGTCTGTTTAGGCTCCGCCATGCGAGCCATTTGGAATTGGGAGCTCGGACGCGAGCTCCCTCACCGGAGGTGGGGGGGGGGGGATTCCTCGCCGGCTCCATTCGGCAGGTTTGTCGTCGCTTGTTGTTTTTTTCCCATTTCCTTTTTGCCCGAGGGAAGTTTCTGGCAGATTCCGGTGATGTTGGGGGTCAGTGATAGAGGGGCACAAGCAGCGTAGTATTACTTTGTCTTGCACGTTCGATTTCCATGTATATAACGGGAGTGTAAACAGAACAAATCGCGGCGTGTGTTAGTCCGCAAAATGTCTGGTGGTTGAAAAGGGGGTCCCGCACGCTCTAAAATGTTGGGACCTGCTTCGCGAGAGGCACTTAATCTGTTGTTGTTGGCTGTGTCCATTATTTTGCAATGCTTGCTGCAACATGTTACCTCTAAGAACCTCAAAGCGCTCTTCATCAGACGCCACTCTCGTTGTCCGGTGCATGAGCATCCGCACGCGGGGGGAGGCCACTGCTGTTTGCGCGTGGCGATGGTGGCGGTGTGGTTTCTCGTGCAGGTTCACACCAGCGGCGAGTTCTCTTCTACCCTGAGGTTTGCGCTCAATATGGTGGCGAGATGTAAATCCCTCGCCTGGTGTGCAGGAGGATGTGGGTTCCATCCCTACCCTGACAGCTCTTGTATATTTGGAGTTTGCGTGTCTCTCTCCCCGTGGTCGTGTGGATTTTTTTCCGGGTCTTCAGGTTTTTCCCTCCACATTTATAATCAACATCACGAGTATTTGGCTGCTATAAATTTCCACACATTTTGTGATAGCCAGGTGGCTTCATAGCTCAGTGGGCCTTACCTGGTAAGAAAAGTCAAACAAAGGGGCGTTCGTTTAACATGTAGGCTTTCGCGACCAATATTATCTCCATATATATAAAAGGCAAAGTTGTGAATATGTGTGTCTGTTAAAAATGTTTAGCGTACTTCCCGACATGCAACAAACTGCAAATTTGCCATGTGGGTACTTTCCAGACTGTGCACCATGCAAAAATTATGAAAATACACCTTTTTTTTGGGGGGGGGGGGGGGAGCTTAATAATGCATATATTTTTTGCACGGCAAGTGAGCTTTGACGTCAAATCTGTCACGTGACCCGCGCACGTGGAAGCGTAACGAATTGTAGTGGAGTGGTTAGCGTGCCGCGTTACGAACCCGGCGACCCGAGTTCGATTCCCGCTCACGGCCACCACCAGTGACGATTATTTCAACCGCTTCTGGGCCTCCCCTAGGTCGACTCAGCCTCAAACGAGTAACTGCTGTGGTGTGTGAACATTGCCACTGGGGAGACAAAGGCGGCCGGGCGTGCTGCTGTCACCCACCCCCTCGTGTGCCGTGCCGGCCTTCATAGGTGCTCACTAACAGCACTTGCCCCCTACAGGCTACACGGGGGATTTTGTCTTTATCCTGTGTGTGTGGGGGGGGGGGGGGGGGGGGGACTACGTAGCGATTCGCCCGCTGCGCAACGATCCCAGCAGAGACCTGTGCGAATCCAAGTCCCGGGCGAAGCCGGGTAGTACAGCTAGTTCATAATAAAGGTTTTTGGGTTCGATCTCGTTATTTATAAATGCGTCGTAACCCTCCACCACCCGAAACGGCCAATCAGAAAAAAAGTGTGACGTTGACAAAAGACAAATAGTTCACTACTTTAGCCCATTGGTGAATGAGTTAAATGATGACGTCACCCTGCTGCTCTATTTAAGACCGGTAGCAAGTGAGGGCTTTACCATTCTGGCGAATTGCCCGATGATGCTGGATGTAATTACCAGCGAAACGTCGTACTCAAACTGTAAATGTTGTGGATTCACTCTTCAACACACCGGTGGGCTAACGTAGTGAATTATTTGTCTTTTGTAAACGTGACACTTTTTTGCTGATTGGCCGTGTCGGGTGGTGGAGGGTTACGACGCATTTATAAATAACGCAATCGAACCCAAAAACCTTTATTATGAAAGGGGCGTTCGCCAATTTCCTTCCACCTCCGTGATGAATGCAAGGTTGCCGGGTGTCCGTGAGTCGAGGGGGAGCCAGGAGATTGTCTCGTGTGCGTGCCTCCTACGTGTGTGTCACACGTGCAGGGTGATGGAGACGGTCGTGCAGAGCGAGGACTTGTCAGCTGTGCAGATGGCGACGTTGTCATTGAGAATGGCGGAGGTGACTGCGACGACACTCTCATCCGTTTCTCTGTCGTGTGTGCGTTCAGCAGAGGGCGATGGGGATTCCGCGGGTGGGGGCGAGGAGGAGGAGGAAGAGGCGGGGGGCGAGGGGCGGCCGCCCAAGGATCCGGCCGCCAGCGCGGTGCCCTCCAGGAAGCGGGCGGACCGTGCAGCGGCACTGGGGACCCCACGTGGCACGGCCATCGCCAGGAAGAGGCAGAAGAGTTCCACTCGCTCCGGCCACATGCGGAGAAACATTCGGTGCCTAGCACGCACTCGCCCTGCACACCCCCGCACACTCCCCGCACACTCCACACACGCCCTGTGTTGAGGTGGTTGTGGTGTTGATGTAGCTGTGGTTGTGTTGTGGTTGTGGTGTTAATGTGGTGGGTGTGTTGATGTGGCTGTGGCCGTGCTATGGTTGTGGTGTTGATGTGGCGGTGGTGGTGCTGCCGCTCTAGGAAGCTCCTTCGTCCGGAGCAGCTTGAGGCCGACACTCTCGCCGCTCAGCTGGAGGAGCTGGAGCGGCGCAAGAGACTCGAGCAGACGGCCTACAAGTCCAGCCAGCCCGACGGTACCCCACTATAGACCCCACTGTAGACCCCACTGTAGACCCACTGTAGACCCATTGTAGACCCCACTGTAGACCCACTGTAGACCCACTGTAGACCCCACTGTAGACCCACTGTAGACCCCACTGTAGACCCCACTGTAGACCCACTATAGACCCCACTGTAGACCCACTGTAGACCCCACTGTAGACCCCACTGTAGACCCCACTGTAGACCCCACTGTAGACCCACTATAGACCCCACTGTAGACCCACTGTAGACCCCACTGTAGACCCCACTGTAGACCCCACTGTAGACCCCACTGTAGACCCCACTGTAGGCCCCACACAAGCCCAGCCAGCAGTATCCCACTATATATACCCCAACATATATCCTACTTTCGACTCCACTCTAGACCCCACGCGAGACCCCACTGTAGAGTGAAGACAGCTCAGGCAGGGGTTGTTAACTTGGGCCGTGCTGCCGGGCGGCCGTGTGTGCTGGTGCAGGCTCGGCCTTGGAAGAGGGCACGCGGGAGAGCGAGGTTATCTGCGTGAGCAGCAGTGAGGATGACGCGCCCAGCCATGGTGAGACATAACACAGCCTGTCAAAGCACACACCACCGCACGTGTATCACCACCAGCACACCACACACCACACACACACACACACTAGTATGCACACCTCTCGCATACAACACGCCGCACGCACGCACATCACACGCTGCACAGCACCCCGTGTACACGGCACGCACGCTGCACACAATGCTCATAGCGCCCTGCGTCTGCAGGGGACGTGATCGAGCTGAGCTCGGAGGACGAGGCTGTGCACGTGATCGGCTCCGAGTCGAGCGGCTCCAGCGCCGACGAGGCCGGGGCGGACGACGCCGAGGCGGAGGCGGCGGCGGCCGCTGCATCGGCGGCGGCTCTGGGCTCGCACTGCAACGACGCTCGCAACCAGCCCGACGCGGCGGGGCGCGTGCTCGTCAATGTCAACCGCCCTCCCGACGAGCCCGACATCTTCATGGCGCCCCAGCTGGCGCGCGTCGTCAAGCCGCACCAGGTGCCGCGCCAGCCTCGTACCTTCTCCCCACCCCCCAACCCCCCCCCCCCCCCGCTCTCGCGCGGGGTCGTCAACGCGCAAACGGCCACGCATGTGCGCGAATCATCGCGAGAGAGACAAGGGGCGAGTGGGACAGACATGGGAAGAGAGGGACAGACACGGAGAGAGAGAGAGACAAGGGCAGGCAGACACAGGGAGAGAGACACATGGGGAAAGATCGCCAGACGAGGCGAGAGTGAGAGAAGGACACGGGGAGATAGAGAGACACAGACATGGGGAGAGAGAGAAAGAGAAGCAGATAGAGGGACAGAGAGACAGAGAGACACACTGGGAGAGAGACACACGGAGGGAGGGATGGCGACACGAGGAAGGAGAGACGAGGGAAGAGAGTTCTAGTTCAAGTAGACTTCTTTTAACCAGGTGAGAGTTAACGGGACCAGGGTGAGTCTCGTTTGAAGGAGTGGCCTGGATCACCTAAATGACTAAAGCAAAGCAAACTACAGCAATGAAGTTCATAGCAATCTAAATTAAAAAACAAACATAAATCAACGTTAAATCAACGCTAAATATTAAATTCCCTGCAGCGAGAATTACAAAACTAAGGCACAGAAATATAAACATTAAACAGATAGTGAGTATTTGATCCCCTGCTGATGTTGTACGTTTGCCCACTGTCAAAGAAATTATCAGTCTATAATTTTAATGGTAGGTTTATTTGAACAGTGAGAGACAGAATAACAACAACAAAAAATCCAGAAAAACGCATGTCAAAAATGTTATAAATTGATTTGCATTTCATTGAGGGAAATAAGTATTTGACCCCTCTGCAAAACATGACTTAGTACTTGGTGGCAAAACCCTTGTTGCCAGTCACAGAGGTCAGACGTTTCTTGTAGTTGGCCACCAGGTTTGCACACATCTCAAGAGGGATTTTGTCCCACTCCTCTTTGCAGATCTTCTCCAAGTCATTAAGGTTTTGAGGCTGACGTCTGGCAACTCGAACCTTCAGCTCCCTCCACAAGATTTTCTATGGGATTAAGGTCTGGAGACTGGCTAGGCCACTCCAGGACTTTAATGTGGTTCTTCTTGAGCCACTCCTTTGTTGTCTTGGCCGTGTGTTTTGTGTCATTGTCATGCTGGAATACCCATCCACGACCCATTATCAATGCCCTGGCTGAGGGAAGGAGGTTCTCACCCAAGATTTGACGGTACATGGCCCCGTCCATCGTCCCTTTGATGCGGTGAAGTTGTTCTGTCCCCTTAGCAGAAAAACAGCCCCAAAGCATAACGTTTCCACCTCCATGTTTGACGGTGGGGATGGTAGGAACAGGTTTTACCCTTTTAACTGGCACAAAAACTGACACCTTTATTCAAGGCATCATGTTTGCAATGACCACAACACAAGCAGTCAAAATGCAAACAAAAAAGACAACTCTGATAATAATATGCACTGTCCTTGAATTTGATTGGTCCACACCCGAGAGAGCTTTTCTTAGAGCCTAGTCTCCATTGGTGTTGGACCAGAAGACGCCAAAAGGCGTACAACTCAAAAACAGCGCACTATCAGAGTATTGAGGGCTCGGGGTGAGCATTAACATTATGAGACCTCCTTTGCCAGAAACAAGATATAGGAATAGGTTTTACCCTTTTAACTGGCACAAAAACTGACACCTTTATTCAAGGCATCATGTTTGCAATGACCACAACACAAGCAGTCAAAATGCAAACAAAAAAGACAACTCTGATAATAATATGCACTGTCCTTGAATTTGATTGGTCCACACCCGAGACAGCTTTTCTTAGAGCCTAGTCTCCATTGGTGTTGGACCAGAAGACGCCAAAAGGCGTTTTGACTGCTTGTGTTGTGGTCATTGCAAACATGATGCCTTGAATAAAGGTATCAGTTTTTGTGCCAGTTAAAAGGGTAAAACTTATTCCTATATCTTGTTTCTGGCAAAGGAGGTCTCATAATGGTGGGGATGGTGGTCTTGGGGTCATAGGCAGCATTCCTCCTCCTCCAAACATGGCGAGTTGAGTTGATGCCAAAGAGCTCCATTTTGGTCTCATCTGACCACAACACTTTCACCCAGTTGTCCTCTGCATCATTCAGATGTTCATTGGCAAACTTGAGACGGGCATGTATATGTGCTTTCTTGAGCAGGGGGACCTTGTGGGTGCTGCAGGATTTTAGTCCTTCACAGCGTAGTGTGTTACCAATTGTTTTCTTGGTGACTATGGTCCCAGCTGCCTTGAGATCATTGATAAGATCCTCCCGTGTAGTTCTGGGCTGATTCCTCACCGTTATCATTATCTTGCAACTCCACGAGGTGAGATCTTGCATGGAGCCCCAGGCCAAGGGAGATTGACAGTTCTTTTGTGTTTCTTCCATTTGTGAATAATCGCACCAACTGTTGTCCCCTTCTCACCAAGCTGCTTGGCAATGGACTTGTAGCCCATTCCAGCCTTGTGTAGGTCTACAATCTTGTCCCTGACATTCTTGGAGAGCTCTTTGGTCTTGGCCATGGTGGAGAGTTTGGAATCTGATTTATTGATTTGCTTCTGTGGACAGGTGTCTTTTATACAGGTAACAAGCTGAGATTAGGAGCACTCCCTTTAAGAGTGTGCTCCTAATCTCAGCTCGTTACCTGTATAAAAGACACCTGGGAGCCAGAAATCTTTCTGATTGAGAGGGGGTCAAATACTTATATCCCTCATTAAATTGCAAATCAAATTATAACATTTTTAACATGCATTTGTCTGGATTTTGTTGTTATTCTGTCTCTCACTGTTCAAATAAACCTACCATTAAAATTATAGACTGATCATTTATTTGTCAGTGGGCAAACGTACAAAATCAGCAGGGGATCAAATACTTTTTTTCCCTCACTGTATATAGGGATATAGTAAACCAAACTAAACTTTGCATTTTACCAGGTAAGGCGCACTGAATCTCTCGACCACGTGGTTCGGTGCATCCGTGAGTTTTCCCTTCCCGCTGCCACCACAATTTCACGGATTTGTTTGTAAATCTGTTGTGTCCGGGCGATAGTGGCTGTGCCCGTGGCCTGTAAAATCCAGCACTGTGGAGGCAGCGAGGGTTGGCACATCATCGCACCAACGTTGCGAAGCTCCCTTCCTGTGGGCATCGAGGTGCCATACCGTGGCTCTCAGGGAGCAAGTGGACTATAATCGTCATCTCTTTCTATCTGTACGAGGGATAGAGCGTTGCCCCTTTGTGTGCGTTTTTTTTCCTCCAAGTGCTCTGGTTTCCTCCCACTTGTAAACACTTGTTAACCCTTTCCTGTTCTGATGATGTATGGAACGGAACCGGAAGAAAAACTAAAATAAGATAACTTTATCGGTACCGATGCTCCCACAAGGCCATGCTGGAGGGCATGTGGCACAGTTTGGCACCAGCTATCGTAGAGTGCGGTCTCTGCGGTGAGTACGACGTCTTTAAAAACAACGGCGCTACGCCTCTCTAAATAAAATTAACGCTAGCCCCTTGCGCGTTCCAAGGTTCAGCGGTGAACCTTGGAGCCCCACACCCTGCAACTTGCGGTCGTCTCGGAATGGGAAAGGGTTAATTGGCTGAAAACCCAATTTAGCAGGCCCCTCCTGAAAAAGAGTCCTTCGACTCATCGTGGCTTTCATGGATAAAGCAGTAAACGGATAAGTCCCGACGTCCGTGTGCACGTCCCCTCATCTCTCCCACTCTCCCGACCTGGTCCCTGCCGTGCGGGTGCAGATTGGAGGGATCCGCTTCCTGTACGACAACCTCGTGGAGTCTCAGGAGCGCTACAGCACCACCAGCGGCTTCGGCTGCATCCTGGCCCACAGCATGGGGCTGGGCAAGACGCTGCAGCTCATCTCCTTCATCGATGTGCTCTTCCGCCACACGGACGCGCGCACCGTGCTGGCCATCGTGCCGGTGAGCGCCGCACGCCCAGTGCCGGCCCTCATGGCCGCCGCCGTCGACGGCTCACATTCACCGGGGCGCCACGCTGGCGAGAAGTTAACTACCTCGCTTGGTATACAGGAGGTCATGTGTTAGATCTAGACCCTGCTGTATTTTTGGAGTTTGCATGTTCTTCCCCTGACTGCATGGCATTTTCTCTAGGCCCTCCTGTTTTTCTCATTTAGAAACATGCGTTTGGAGTATTGGCTGCTATAAATATCTACACCATAAGCCACTTGAGCTATCATTTGTGGCCAGGACGCTTTTTAAACAGAGCTGTATAGCTCATTGGGCCCTACCTGGCAAAATACAAATAGTTTAGTTTTATAGTTTATATTTCATTTAGTGCAGCAGCACTGTGGAGCTTTCTTTTTCACTTCTTTGTGTTGCGTCCTTAAACAGACAAAAACAAGCTGCTCTATCGTGTAGATATCCATCCCCAGTTTCTGTTCTCCCCCGGCTGTGGCACGTGAATCTGAAACGTTGCCGAAGAGGAATACGGCTTGTGCAGAAGCGACGCCAATTAGATGTCACTGGAAACTTCTTGAAAGTCACATCACTTGAAAGTAATTGAAGCGTGACTCTCATACCAGCGTGACCCTCATGCCAGCGTGACTCTCATGCCAGCGTGACCCTCATGCCAGCGCGACTCTCATGCCAGTGGGACCCTCATGCCAGCGTGACCCTCATGCCAGCGTGACCCTAATGCCAGCGTCACCCTCATGCTAGCGTGACTCTCATGCCAGCGCGACCCTCATGCCAGCGCGACCCTCATGCCAGCGTGACTCTCATGCCAGCGTGACTCTCATGCTAGCGTGACCCTCATGCCAGTGGGACCCTCATGCCAGCGTGACCCTCATGCCAGCGTGACGCTAATGCTACTGTGAATCTCATGCCAGTGTGATCCTCATGCCAGCGTGATGCTAATGCTACTGTGAATCTCATGCCAGCATGACCCTAATGCCAGCATGACACTAATGGCAGCGTGATCCTCATGTCAGGGTGACCCGAATGCCAACATGATGCTCATGTCAGGGTGACCCTCAATTCTTTGTGACCCTCATGCCACGTGACCCTAATGCCAGCACGACCTCCATGTCAGGGTGACCCGAATGGCAGTGTGACTCTTAACGCCAGCGTGACCCTAATGAAGGCAACGTGACTTGTGTGCAGGTGAACACTCTGCAAAATTGGCTGGCTGAGTTCAATCACTGGCTGCCCCCGGCGGGGCACCGTGGCACAGGGCAAGGTGGCACGGGGCAGGCCACTGGGAACCCGGGCGACGCCACGGAGGAAGCACAGCCGCGCACATTTGCTGTTCACATCCTCAACGATGACCACAAGTGAGCCCTCGTCATCCCCACCATCGCCACCACCACCCTCGCCCTCCTATACACATCGGGTACACGGTGTCACCATCACTATTATATACACCATCTTGTACACCATGTTATCATCATCACTATCATATACACCATTATGTACACAATGTTGTCTTCATCACTATCATGTTGTTGTATATGCCGGGTATGAAAATTTGATGAAAATAATACAATTTTAATGACATTTTTATTAAAACTGCATAATTATCCGAAATTATGTTAATTTATGTAATTATGCGCATAAAGTATGCTGATTCGAGAGATAATTGTATTAATCTATGCGAATGTGTACGGTTATGCTAATGCATGCAGTTATGATAATTAGGTTAAACCTCGTTGTCGAGAGTAGTATTATCAATCACGATCGTACAATTAATCGTGTGAAGTTATGCAGGTGTGCTGTATGCCAGATTAAACTCGGCTTCGTTGTCTAGGTTCGTATTATCGATCGGTATAATACAATTATTCTCGCTTTAACATTTACTGATTATGTATTCGTGTGTTATGTCAGGTCTCCAAATTCAAATCTCAACGCAGGATACAGTTCTTATAATTAAGATTATTATGCATGAACTCAGGAAAGAAACACTCAAACACTTCTGTGTTAAGCAACTTTAATTTCTAACAAAACCTTAACATGATTTAAAGCTTTCGTGACTGCAATAATTCATATTCTTGGTTCTTTCGGTAAAGTCACGTTGAAGGGAAACAATAAAATAATAAAATATATATAAAACAATAAAATTATCACGACGTTTCGACTGTAACAGTCATCATCAGGTGTGAAAACCAACGGCAAAGAAACATTTGAAAGAAGTGGCGGTTTGTATTTATTTATTTTTTAACGTTAGCACCACGGACAGCGATTTGTCAGTTTGTTTTTAAGGACGAGTCCATCTATGTTCGGAAAAGAGGAGGGGGGAGACGAAAAATTAATGTATGCTGTCTGAAAACCACCGTAAGCGTGAACAATCAATTAAGACCCGAAATGGTTTATCAAATCCTTCCAATGATTGCTAAGCCAGAATCCATCTTCTCGGTTGAAATTGTCTCTGTGTTTGTATATGTGGATAGCCTCATGAACAAATCTCTCATGGTAGCCCGATGGCTTGCAAAGAACCTCTGTCTTGGAGCAGTCAATGTCATGTGAGCCTACTGAATTATAACAGTGATCTGCCACGGCCGAGGTGTTGGTCCTACCATGTTTAAGGTCTGCTTTGTGTTCACGAATGCGGTCCGAGACATGTCGTTTGGTTTCTCCAATGTAACTACTACCACAGAGGCAACTTAGATGGACTCGTCCTTTAAAACAAACTGACAAATCGCTGTCCGTGGTGCTAACGTTTAAAAATAAATAAATAAATAAAAACCGCCACTTCTTTAAAATGTTTCTTGCCGTTGGTTTTCACACCTGATGATGACTAGTTGTGTTACAGTCGAAACGTTGTGATAATTTTATTGTTTTATATATATTTTATTATTTTATTGTTTCTCTTCAACGTGACTTTACCGAAAGAACCAAGAATATAAAAACCTTAACACTTAAATATGCAAATTATTATGCTTGGAATTACCCCCGGTACCATCGGGGAGTTTTCCCTCAGTGAGCAGTACTTTTAACCATCAATGGTTGCGTTGTTTCACTTTGGCAACCGCACATGCGATTACTTCCACTGCGTAACACGAGCTTAGTTGGTGATAGGGAGAGTCTTTAAAACCGGCATGCAACGATATTCTAAACAAAAACCTTAACACTCTAATATGCGAATTATTATGCTTGAAATTGTCAACACAGTACTCCAGGAGAAGAACCCCTCATTGATCCATACATTTAACCCTCAATGGTCACGTTGTTAATTGGGTAACAGATCAATTGATTACTTCCTCAGAGTAACACGGCATATACGGCAAATAGGAATAAAAAGTCCTTAAAAATTAATGCGACGATATTCACGAAAGGCAATAAAAACAAATTGTTCTACCCCAAAGGCAAAAGTATACGTTAATAGATTCATCGGCAAGATTATATAATTAACTAAATGTCCTGGAATAAGTGTGCGATGGTGTGCGCGTTGTCCCACGGGAGATTCTTATCTTTGGCTAAGTTTTAATTAATTCGTGGACAAGATTACATGATAAAGAAACAGGTTTAACACGATTTCTCTCTGTGAGCGTATAGAATCGTGGCGAAGGTTTCAAATGTTTAGTTTGTATCGATAAATCTATTGGTAATTTATGCGATTGGAAGTAAAATCACGTAAGAAAAACAAAAAAAATAAGCAAAAAAAATGAATGTACTTATAAACGACATATTGTTATCACTCGATGAGCCGCGATGCCTTCACGGCCAGCTGATGGTTCATGCACTTTATAATTCGTCTTCTTACTAATGATTCGTGTATGTGTTGTGGGGATGGTATGGGTGGAGTGGAAATGTGTTCTTGATCAATTCTTTGCGTCAAGAAGACGCCAGGTGATGCGGTGTAATGTGTGGCAGTGTCATACGGATAGCTGGGTTCTCCTTCTTTCACACGGGCAGCCAGAGTTCGGTCCACAGCTGGTTGGACGAGTTGGCACGACGCTCGCCGTCGGGCGCGATGATCCCATCGTCAGATAGCGCCCGCAGCTCGTCCGCTGGCAGTTGACACTCTTGCTTGGTGGCGCTTGGTGGCGCTGCGGCGTGCTCTCTCCTTCCCCGGCTCTCTGGCGATGAACGATGCTTCCGTTCATTGATGGCAGGCTTGGTCGACGTTTGGCGCTTTCCGTCCTCTCTGGTGTATGATGCTGGAATTCTTGTCAGCTTAGCTCGAACTGCAGTGCTCTTGTGAGCTGATGTTCAGAGCGGAATGCTGTTTGAGCGATACTTCTTCTGATGGCGCTGAATTCGCACGGCGTAGCATGTCGCTAAACAGCGAGCCTCGCCATCCTGGGTGAGTTTGTTGAGTCTTCTTCTGCGTCGGTGGTGATCTCCTGCGTCGGTGGTTGGCTGTTATCTTCGAGGGTTGAGCATCTTCGATAGTTGGTTGCCGTCTTCTGCCGCTGGTAGCTGTGATGATTCAATGCTGGCATGTCTCTATTTTTATGCCAAAATTTCTCCCTCTGGCTCCGCCTTCTCACAAAGGAACGGATCTCCCTTTGATCTCGCTCTGTGTTGCGGGGAATGGATTGTGCGTGTGTCCGTGTGTGTGTGTGTCCTTTATTGAGGTAATATTAGTTTCATCAAGGCATGGTTCCCTGTCGCCTTCCTCAAGCCATCCCGCCATCAAAATGAAACAGATGCTTCAGATTGCCCCGCGTGTGTCCTTCTGTCTCGCCCTCTGCACTAATTAATCTGGAAGGAGGGGGGTGTCCCCTCCAGTCGAGTCCTCTGCCCCCTGCTCTTCCCTCTTGGTGTGAGATTCTATTGACTCGCACAAAGGGTGTGTTGAGGCTTTTGAAAGTTACATTTTTTTTACCTCATAGTTTGATACAGTACCACTTGCAGTTATGATTCTGGATGTGACTCAAGGTTTGTTGTAGTAGTGTTTCCATCGTGGTGTTTGATTTTTGTTTTAAGAGGAGATGCCCTCTGCCTGCGTATGCACATTCTTATCACGTGCTTCTGGAAGACAAAGGCGGCCGGGAGGCTCTCTTTCTCTCCGAGATACATGTGTCTTGGTCACGTGATCGACCTATCTCGCCTCATCTCTTCTGGCTGGCCCTCGGTTTAACACTGCATCATTATTATTTTGGTTTATGTTTCCCAAGATTTGTGATTTGACATTGTCATCATTAGATGCCACCTCCAGTATTTCAAGGGTTTTATTAACCTTTGCTCCCTTGTCTTCATCCAGGGATCCGGGCTTTTTATTCTCGAGGTCAGAGATATCCCGAGGCTGGAGATATACCCAAGCCCTCACTTTCTTGACTGCCAGAATTTACATTCCTTGGTTTTTGTAAGGTCGCGTAAACGGCAAGATGTAATATAATTTACGGTGAATAACGTTAGTATCAATATAAATGTATGTGAAGTAATAACCCGCTATGTAGATTGTAGTCTGGTTTTTCTTAGTGAGTGTGTAGATTCCTATAATGTCAGCTTATTCTTGTTGCCGAGTTTTTCTTGGATTTCTGTTAATTAAGATAACCAAACCTATCTGTCCGGTTTTCGTCTGATGTGTGTTTGTTCTATTATTGTGGTGATGAGATGTCTCCTAAAGGCCTGGCCCCTTTCTTCGCGGTCGGGTGTTGCCTTTGTCTGTCCCGGTGGGCGTCGTGATCTCTTCCTTTGTGGTTTAATTGCTACCCATGTGGCTAGGAGACAAGGCAGCAGGTAGGTTTCCTCTATGGAATTTTTTTGTCACGTGATCAACCCATCTTTCTATGTATCCCTTGGGTGACCCTTGGCTTAACTCTAATTGCCATTATTTGAATTTTGATTTAAAGCTTTCGTGACTGCAGGGATTCATTTCTTTGTTCTTTCGGTAAAGTCACGTAGATGACGAAGTAATAGAATTTAGTATTAATATTACATGTATGTGAAGTGATAACCCACTAGGGAGATTATAGTCTGGTGTTGTTTTTTTTTTGTATTGAGTGTGTGGATTCTTTATGATGTCGACTCATTTGTTGCTAAGTTCTGAACTTTAACCGTTGTATTAATAGCAACGAAGGGGAAAATTATTTTAGAATTCGCCTGTGAGTGGCGCCTTATTGTCTGTGAGCTCAAAGAAGGGGGTCTTTGAAGCCCTCCTTAGGAATTACCCCCCGCCTTTCTCTTTGGTTGGTTTATTACTTTTTATTGCTTATCTCCAGGCGGCCCTGTTGTGTGTGAGGGGAGCGGGTTGTTCTCTCACCCCCTCTTTGCCCCGGAGTTTATTATTTTATGGCCTTTTACGACCTCCAGCTGCTTGGTGCTTGTGGGAGGTAGTGGGTTTGAGGGTGTTTATTTATTTATCGATTATTATTTAAAAAATCGGCAAAATCATTATTAATATCAATTTTGGAAAAAGGCCTATATATACAACAATGTACACCATGCCATCATCATTATCATATACAACATCATGTACAACAATATCATAATCACTGTCATATACACCATCATGTACACCTTGTCATCATCATCACCCCCCTCTTCATTGCAATAAATTTAATCACTGTCATCACCATCTTCAGCATAATGAGGTATCAACATCGCCGTCAAGTTTGTTACAAAATAATTATTTTCAGAGCGGAATGTGGGTGTGTGTGTCTGCGCAATGCGTGTGCCACACGTGTTAGCTTTCCTATGCGCTCATGTGTTTACCTCGTATGCATGTGTGTGTATGTTCTCGTATGCGTGTGTGTGTATGTATGTGTGTATGTATATTTGCACATGCCTGTGTTAAGCTTCACATCGTGTTTAGGGTGGCAGCGCAGTAGTATAATTTGTGCATCACAGCAAGAAGGATCCAGGTTCAATTCCAGATTCGGGCGCCTTTCTGCGTGGAGTTTGTATGTTTTCCCCCTGTCCTCCATGGGTTTCCTCTGGGTTCTCTGTTTTCCTACTCCCATAGCTAAAAGAAGATTATGCAGTTTTAGTCAAAACATCCCAGTGCTGAAAAATTGCCTCCAAATTTCTCGATTGGGATCACGGACTTTACGGGAAAGAGTCTTGGGATGAAGGGAGGCATTGCTAGGTGAACAAGCGGAATCTTCATGGAATAATAGATGTGTGGGTGTGTCTGTATATGTTTGTGTTGTGTTTTTTAGTGTAGCGGTTAGCGCACTGCACTACAAACCCGGCGACACGAATTCTGGGGCTCCCCTATGTCGACTCAGCCTCAAATGAGTACCTAGTGCGGTGTTTAAATATTTCGATTTAAAGCTTTCGTGACTGCAAGGATTCATCTTCTTTGGTTCTTTCGGTAAAGTCACTTAGAATGAGAATAAAATAAAACAATAAAATTCTGACGACGTTTCGGCCACAACACAAGTGGCCTTCTTCAGGTGAAAGGAACAAACCTGTCGGGACGACAGAGCTACAGTGAACGCTGCTAAGATTTGTAGTGTCTTTTAAGCTGGTTGAGAGAAGTGAGGCACCTTGACAAAGGGTTTTACATATCAAACAGGAGAATTTAGCATTGAAACAGTTGAGGGATTAGCTTGTGACTGGTCACAGAAATAGCTATGTTATAGTCAAAGCCTACACATCCACAGAGGCACCTCGTACATGGACACCAAAGGGGCTGCAACAACTCAACTATCATACAGTAAACCGATGTGAAAAAAAAACCTAAGTCTAAATTACATCAATATATAAATGTACTCAATGTATTCTTCAATAAGCAGAGCTATTAACAGCAACTGGGTATACACTACACTATATAATGAATACCATATAGTAAACAGATAAAAAACTAAAATAGAAACTACTTCAATGTTATCAATAAACTATATACATTCTTCAATCAGCTGAGCTACCAACAATAAGTCGTTATATATCACGATGCTATATGGCGAAAAAATTGGTGGATTCTGACCCTCCACATCAGCACCACGGACCGCTACGAGCCCCGTTCAGACGGACGAGTTCATCATGTTCGGAACAGAGGAGAGAAACAGCTGCGAGGCGCTGTTATAATCATGTTATAAACCATACCATTAACTGTGGTGTGAGAAGTATTAAGAGTCAATACCAGCGAAAGAGCTGCGGTCTGAAGGTCACCATAAAATAATTAATTAACAACCGAAATGGTTTTAAACATCTTTCCAATGGTTACTAAGCCAGAATCCATCTTCTCGGTTGAAATTGTCTCTGTGCTTGTATATGTGGATAGCCTCATGAACGAATCTCTCATGGTAGCCGGTTGGCTTGCAAAGAACCTCCGTCTTGGAGTCAATGTGATGTGAGCCCACTGAATTATAACAGTGATCTGCCACGGCGGAGGAGTTCATTCTACCGTGTTTTAAGTCTGCTTTATGTTCGCGGATGCGGTCCGAGATATGTCGTTTGGTTTCTCCAATGTAGCTACTACTACAGAGGCACTTTAGTTTGTAAACGCCTGGGTACGGTATGTCTGGAACAGCATCTTTTACAGATGGAACCAGATCACGGATTTAATGTGTTGTGTCCTTGTTCACCAAAGTTCCAGTACCTGACACCATCGCTATCATTGAAGACTTGGTTCATCAAGGACTGCATACTGATGTACCCCCCCTGGTGAGACATTGCTTAACCAACACATACTTCACCTGGAATGGAACTTTCTACAAACAGACTGAGGGCACCCCAATGGACTCCCCCCTGTCTCCGGTTGTAGCCAACGTATCCATGAAAAAATTTGAAACTGACGCCATCCAGACTGCCACTCTACGCCCGACCTTATGGAAGAGGTACGTGGATGACACTTTTGTCATCTGGCCACATGGCCAGCCTGCTCTAGACCAATTCCGGGACCACATCAATTTCATACACCCAGCCATCAGATTTACCATGGAGGTGGAAAAAGATGGCAAGCTACCCTTTTTGGATGTCTTAGTTAAAAGGAGACCTGATGGCTCAATGAGCCACTCTGTCTACAGGAAAGCTACCCATACAGATGCTTACTTGAAACCGGATTCCCACCACCATCCATCCCAGAAGAACTCCCTCATCAAGACTCTATACCATAGAGCCCAATGCATTTCCGACCAGGAACACATTACCAGTGAACTCAAACGCGTACACCAGGCTCTCAGGGCTAATGGTTACTCTGACTACACAATCCGCAAATCCATCACTCCAGTCATGAAGAAGGATTCTCTTGTGGGGCCACTCAAAACCATCACCTTACCCTACATTGCAGGGGTCACTAAAAAGATCTCCAAAATCCTGAATAAGCACAAGATCCAGGTCCGATTCAACACAGTACATAAAATCCGTGATCTGGTTCCATCTGTAAAAGATGCTGTTCCAGACATACAGTAACCAGGCGTTTACAAACTAAAGTGCCTCTGTGGTAGTGGCTACATTGGAGAAACCAAACGACATATCTCGGACCGCATCCGCGAACATAAAGCAGACTTGAAACACGATAGAACGAACTCCTCCGCCGTGGCAGATCACTGTTATAATTCAGTGGGCTCACATCACATTGACTCCAAGACGGAGGTTCTTTGCAAGCCAACCGGCTACCATGAGAGATTCGTTCATGAGGCTATCCACATATACAAGCACAGAGACAATTTCAACCGAAAAGATGGATTCTGGCTTAGTAACCATTGGAAAGATGTTTTAAACCATTTCGGTTTTTAATTAATTATTTTATGGTGACCTTCAGACCGCAGCTCTTTCGCTGGCATTGACTCTTAATACTTCTCACGCCACGGTTAATGGTATGGTTTATAACATGATTATAACAGCGCCTCGCAGCTGTTTCTCTCCTCTGTTCCGACCATGATGGACTCGTCCGTCTGAACGGGGCTCGTAGCGGTCCGTGGTGCTGATGTGGAGGGTAAGAATCCACCCATTTTTTCGCCATATAGCATCGTGATATATAACGACTTATTGTTGGTAGCTCAGCTGATTGGAGAATATATAGAGTTTATTGATAACATTGAGGTAGTTTATATTTTAGTTTTTTATCTGTTTACTATATGGTATTCATTATATAGTGTAGTGTATACCCAGTTGCTGTTAATAGCTCTGCTTATTGAAGAATATATTGAGTACATTTATATATTGATGTAATTTAGACTTAGGTTTTTTTTCACATCGGTTTACTGTATGATAGTTGAGTTGTTGCAGCCCCTTTGGCGTCCATGTACGAGGTGCCTCTGTGGATGTGTAGGCTTTGACTTTAACATAGCTATTTCTGTGACCAGTCACAAGCTAATCCCTCAACTGTTTCAATGCTAAATTCTCCTGTTTGATATGTAAACCCCTTTGTCAAGGTGCCTCACTTCTCTCAACCAGCTTAAAAGACGCTGCGAATCTTAGCAGCGTTCATTGTAGCTCTGTCGTCCCGACAGGTTTGTTCCTTTCACCTGAAGAAGGCCACTTGTGTTGTGGCCGAAACGTCGTGAGAATTTTATTGTTTTATTTTATTATTTTATTCTCATTCTACGTGACTTTACCGAAAGAACCAAAGAAGATGTTTAAATATTCACCACTCGGGAGATAAAGACGGCCGGATGTGTTGCTGGCCACCCAACCCCCTCGTGTGCCGTGCCGGCCTTCATAGGTGCTCCTCGCTAACAGCACTTTGCCCCTCAGTCTGTTAAAAGCAATACAGAGGATCCTTGTCTTTGTGTGTGTGTGTGCGCGTGCGCGTACAGGACTACGGTGGCCCGGGCACGGGTGATCGCTGAGTGGAGTGCCGGGGGCGGCGTTCTGCTCATGGGCTATGAGATGTTCCGTCTCCTGTCGCTCAAGAAAGCGTCGCTCGGCTCCGGGCGCAAGAAGAAGCCCAAGAAGGAGGTGGGGCCCGTTATCATCGACCTGGACGAGGAGGACCGGCAGCAAGAGCTACTCCTGGGTATGCCTCCCTCCCTCCCCTCCCCTTCCTCCTTCCCTCCCCTTCCTCCCTCCCTCCGACCTGACCTTCAATGCGCACGCTCTCGGGGTCTACGATGTGACAGCAAATGAACCAGGATGACATTCAGCTCGCAGGTTTTCGCAGCCATTCGGGTTCGGCAACTTACGTAGCAATCTGACCAAATCTGCATCCTTAAAGCCCCCACCGCCCGACACAGCCAAACAGATCAAACACTATTTGGCGTACGAGCGTTCAGCAAAGTGCCAATTCTTCGTGGTTCCAGCCCGACTCACCGGTGAGTTGAAGAACGATTTTCTGCAGACAGACGTAGCGGGGATTGCACCCCTCCCCCCTCCACCATGCTCCACGTTGGCGAGAAGACGCGACGCTCCTCCCTGTCTTGTCGCGCAGACGTTGAGAAGGCCCTGACGCGGCCGGGCGCCGACGTGGTCATCTGCGACGAGGGCCACCGCATCAAGAACTGCCACGCGAGCACGGCACAGGCACTCAAGGCGGTGCGCACGCGGCGCCGCGTGGTGCTCACGGGTTACCCGCTGCAGAACAACCTCATCGAGTACTGGTGCATGGTGGACTTCGTGCGACCGAACTTCCTGGGCACGCGGCAGGAGTTCAGCAACCTGTTCGAGCGGCCCATCCTCAACGGGCAGTGCGTGGACAGCACGCCGCAGGACATGCGGCTCATGCGCTACCGCAGCCACGTGCTGCACAGCCTGCTCGAGGGCTTCGTGCAGAGGCAAGCGCCCGTGGCAACCTGCACACACCTGCACACACCTGCACTTTCAGTCACCCGTTACAGTAAATAACAGCACACTAAATCACCCATTACAGCAAATGGTGCATGAGTGTAGCGTGCGGTGTGGTGTGAGTGTAACGTATCGTGCTATGTGTGAGTGTAACGTGCGGTGTGGTGTGAGTGTGTGTACCGGTGGACGTGGTGCATGTGTAACGTACTCTTGGTTGGCCGACAGGCGAGGCCACAACGTACTGACGGCCACGCTGCCTGCCAAGGAGGAGCACGTGCTGCTGGTGCGGCTGTCACCCATCCAGCGCGCGCTCTACCGCCACTTCATGTTGCGCTTCCAAGAGGCCGGCTCCTCCGGCTGGCTCGGCTCGAACCCGCTCAAGGCCTACTGCGTCTGCTGCAAGGTGCGCGCCACTGCCCCGCTGCTGCTGGCTGCCTGCACGTGTGCGCGTGTGTGTTTGTGCGTGTGTGTGGAGAGCGGTTGTGTAGCGGTTAGCGCACTGCACTTCGAACCCGCCGGCCCGAGTTTGATTCCCGATCATGGCCAGCACCAGTGAAGAATATCTGAACCAGTCCCAGGCCTCCTCTAGGTCGACTCGGCCTCAAATGAGTACCTGGTATGGTGTGTAAACATCGCCACTGGGGAGACAAAGGCGGCCGTGCGTGGTGCTGGCCGCGCATCCCCTTGAGTACCATTTCGGCTTTCATAGGTACTCGCTAACAGCACTTTCCCCAACATTATGGTAAGGTTTTTCAGGAGATCTTTGTCTCTTGTGCGTGTGTACATTTCCGGGCGTGGTGTTGGCCACCCATTCCCTCATGTGCCATGCCGGCCTTCATAGGTGCTCGCTAACAGCACTTTCCCCTACAGTCTGTTAAGGCTAAATGGGGGATCTTTGTCTTTGTTTGTACATTTGTGCATGTGTTTGTCCATTTTTGTGTGCGTCCGGCGTACGTGTGTACGTGTGTACGTGTGTGCGTGCGTGTGCGTGCGTACATGCGTGCATGCGTACATGGCGTGCGTGTGTACATGTGTGCGTGCGTATGTGCATGTGTTCGTGTGTGCCGCCTCACTCCTGGGGGGTCTCGAATTCGCACGTGGTACAAGCGGCGATTTGCTGCTGCTCAAATTAACTTTGAGGCAGAGCCAGTGGTGGGAATTACTAATTCCAATGGCGAGGCCAAGTCTATCCATACAACAACCAAAGTGGTACTTCATTTATTGGCCCAGGAGGGATGATGGACTGAGTACCTGGTGCGGTGCGTGTAAAAACATCGGGCGTGGTGCTGGCCACCCACCGCCTCGTGTTCCATTCCGGCCTTAAAAGTGCTCGCTAACAACATTTGCCCTAACAGAGTGAAAAGTCTATACGGGGGAGCTTTGTAAATGTTTTTATTGTGCTGCAGCACACGCCGTGCGCACACGGCACCCACGCTTATAATATTGTGTGAGGAGTGAGCGGTTTGTCCTCGTGAGAATGAAGAAGTGTTAAGTGCAGTCCCCCGGCCACGCTGAGATACGGGTATCTTCTCGTGGGCTGGAGGTCTGTTACCTGCTGACGAGCAGAGCAAGTGCAGCCAACGTGACATTGCTCAATTGACATCAGGGACTTGCTCAACATAGGGACAATGTGGGTGCTCGCTGACCAGGCCGCTATCTAGCTCGCGCATCAACAAATGTTCTTTATCGTGTGCATTATGTATGTATGTTGAACTTCTTTTGCACCGTACGTAACCAACCGTGCTAATTGGAGGTGCGGGGGAAGGACAACAAACTAAAGACAAAAGCAGTTCTAAAGAAATTAGTTCGTCAATCTAGTTGATGATTTAAAAGTGCATAGCTCCAGTGGCTTCCTAATATCAGAAAGAAGAGCGTTGTAGATGGCCGCAGAAGCGCATAATAATTGTCCCTGATAACATACGTAATACATTTTTCGTCAATAGTCAATAATTGCGTCATAATTTACGTAATTAACTATTTAAAATTGATCGGACAATGAAATGTATTAAGCAATAATAAAAGGCTCTTGATTTATTATTAAAATAATGAATACAATAATTAGTTGTACGTTCCATTCGCATCCAGATTTATCAAATAAATAATTATAACCCTTTAACACCTTCGTATTCACTTTTACATCGTTATATTGTTGAATTAATATTCTATGGAAATGTTTCAATATTTATGTATTATTGGAAAAAAAAATGTATATACGCACGCGCTGTCACACCTCACGCTGTGAATAAACAGAACCACAGACACGAGCCTGGACGGCTGCCATGAGGTGAGCCGGCGCCAGCCATTGCTCTGCAGTTCTCCACATATTCAGACGTTTAGGGAGCGTTTGTAAAATATGTGAGGAAATCGTAGCACCCAGAGAAAACTCCATCCGCGCGAGGTGGCAACGCTCTGTCCCACACGGAAGGGACGGACGACATCAAGTGCACACTTTGCTGTCTTGCATCCTGCTGGGGTGTTGAACATCGTGATGCCCACGGCAAGGGAGTGTCGCAGAGATTTGCCTCTTACAAACAACCCTCGCCCGCTTTCCGCACGATGCTGGAGGACGGACCGCAGCATGCACAGCCACCGCGGCTTCCTTACGATGGTCCTGGCCAAGCGTCGGTGCGGGCGGGCGGGCACGTCCAGTAACGCTGCCGCATCCTCCTCCCCCTGCGTTCCCCGTCATTCCCCAGATCTGGAACCACCCGGACATCCTGTTTGACGCGCTGCAGAAGGAGAGCATCGCCGCGGACCCCGACCTGGACCTCGAGGTGTCGGACCTCCCCGCAGGCCTCACGCGCGAGCGCGGCGCCAGTGGGGGCTCCTCGGGCAGGCGCAAGGTGGCCAAGGTGAACAGTGTCACTCACCACCACACTTATCAGTGTCACTCACCACCACACTTATCAGTGTCCCTCACCACCACACCAATCAGTGTCACTCACCACCACACTTATCAGTGTCACTCACCACCACACTTATCAGTGTCACTCACCACCACACCGATCAGTGTCACTCACCACCACATCGATCAGTGTCACTCACCACCACACTGAGCAGTGTCACTCACCACCACACCGATCAGTGTCACTCACCACCATACTGAGCAGTGTCACTCACCACCACACTGATCAGTGTCACTCACCACCACACTTATCAGTGTCACTCACCACCACACCGATCAGTGTCACTCACCACCACACTTATCAGTGTCACTCACCACCACACCGATCAGTGTCACTCACCACCACACTTATCAGTGTCACTCACCACCACACCGATCAGTGTCACTCACCACCACACCGATCAATGTCACTCACCACCACACTTATCAGTGTCACTCACCACTACACCGATCAGTGTCACTCACCACCACACCGATCAATGTCACTCACCACCACACTGATCAGTGTCACTCACCACCCCACTTATCAGTGTCACTCACCACCACACTTATCAGTGTCCCTCACCACCACACCGATCAGTGTCACTCACCACCACACTGAGCGGTGTCACTCACCACCACACCGAGCAGTGTCACTCACCACCACACCGATCAGTGTCACTCACCACCACACTTATCAGTGTCACTCACCACCACACTTATCAGTGTCACTCACCACCACACCGATCAGTGTCACTCACCACCACACCGATCAGTGTCACTCACCACCACACTGAGCAATGTCACTCACCACCACACCGATCAGTGTCACTCACCACCATACTGAGCAGTGTCACTCACCACCACACTGATCAGTGTCACTCACCACCACACTTATCAGTGTCACTCACCACCACACCAATCAGTGTCACTCACCACCACACTTATCAGTGTCACTCACCACCACACCGATCAGTGTCACTCACCACCACACTTATCAGTGTCACTCACCACCACACCGATCAGTGTCACTCACCACCACACCGATCAATGTCACTCACCACCACACTTATCAGTGTCACTCACCACCACACCGATCAGTGTCACTCACCACCACACCGATCAATGTCACTCACCACCACACTGATCAGTGTCACTCACCACCACACCGATCAGTGTCACTCACCACCACACTTATCAGTGTCACTCACCACCACACCGATCAGTGTCACGCACCACCACACTTATCAGTGTCACTCACCACCACACCGATCAGTGTCACTCACCACCACACTGAGCAGTGTCACTCACCACCACACTGATCAGTGTCACTCACCACCACACTGATCAGTGTCACTCACCACCACACTTATCAGTGTCACTCACCACCACACCGATCAGTGTCACTCACCACCACACTGAGCGGTGTCACTCACCACCACACCGAGCGGTGTCACTCACCACCACACTGATCAGTGTCACTCACCACCACACTGATCAGTGTCACTCACCACCACACTGATCAGTGTCACTCACCACCACACTGAGCGGTGTCACTCACCACCACACTGAGCGGTATCACTCACCACCACACCGATCAGTATCACTCACCACCACACTGATCAGTGTCACTCACCACCACACTGATCAGTGTCACTCACCACCACACTGATCAGTGTCACTCACCACACCGATCAGTGTCACTCACCACCACACCGATCAGTGTCACTCACCACCACACCGATCAGTGTCACTCACCACCACACTTATCAGTGTCACTCACCACCACACTGATCAGTGTCACTCACCACCACACCGATCAATGTCACTCACCACCACACTGATCAGTGTCACTCACCACCACACCGATCAGTGTCACTCACCACCACACCGATCAGTGTCACTCACCACCACACCGATCAGTGTCACTCACCACCACACCGATCAGTGTCACTCACCACCACACTGATCAGTGTCACTCACCACCACACCGATCAGTGTCACTCACCACCACACTGATCAGTGTCACTCACCACCACACCGATCAGTGTCACTCACCACCACACCGATCAGTGTCACTCACCACCACACCAATCAGTGTCACTCACCACCACACTGATCAGTGTCACTCACCACCACACCGATCAGTGTCACTCACCACCACACCGATCAGTGTCACTCACCACCACACCGATCAGTGTCACTCACCACCACACCGATCAGTGTCACTCACCACCACACTGAGCGGTGTCACTCACCACCACACCGAGCAGTGTCACTCACCACCACACCGATCAGTGTCACTCACCACCACACTTATCAGTGTCACTCACCACCACACTTATCAGTGTCACTCACCACCACACCGATCAGTGTCACTCACCACCACACCGATCAGTGTCACTCACCACCACACTGAGCAATGTCACTCACCACCACACCGATCAGTGTCACTCACCACCATACTGAGCAGTGTCACTCACCACCACACTGATCAGTGTCACTCACCACCACACTTATCAGTGTCACTCACCACCACACCAATCAGTGTCACTCACCACCACACTTATCAGTGTCACTCACCACCACACCGATCAGTGTCACTCACCACCACACTTATCAGTGTCACTCACCACCACACCGATCAGTGTCACTCACCACCACACCGATCAATGTCACTCACCACCACACTTATCAGTGTCACTCACCACCACACCGATCAGTGTCACTCACCACCACACCGATCAATGTCACTCACCACCACACTGATCAGTGTCACTCACCACCACACCGATCAGTGTCACTCACCACCACACTTATCAGTGTCACTCACCACCACACCGATCAGTGTCACTCACCACCACACTTATCAGTGTCACTCACCACCACACCGATCAGTGTCACTCACCACCACACTGAGCAGTGTCACTCACCACCACACTTATCAGTGTCACTCACCACCACACCGATCAGTGTCACTCACCACCACACCGATCAGTGTCACTCACCACCACACTGAGCAATGTCACTCACCACCACACCGATCAGTGTCACTCACCACCATACTGAGCAGTGTCACTCACCACCACACTGATCAGTGTCACTCACCACCACACTTATCAGTGTCACTCACCACCACACCAATCAGTGTCACTCACCACCACACTGATCAGTGTCACTCACCACCACACTGATCAGTGTCACTCACCACCACACTGATCACTGTCACTCACCACCACACTGATCAGTGTCACTCACCACCACACTGATCAGTGTCACTCACCACCACACTGATCAGTGTCACTCACCACCACATTGATCAGTGTCACTCACCACCACACCGATCAGTGTCACTCACCACCACACCGATCAGTGTCACTCACCACCACACTGATCAGTGTCACTCACCACCACACTGATCAGTGTCACTCACCACCACACTGATCAGTGTCACTCACCACCACACCGATCAGTGTCACTCACCACCACACTGAGCGGTATCACTCACCACCACACCGATCAGTGTCACTCACCACCACACTGATCAGTGTCACTCACCACCACACTGATCAGTGTCACTCACCACCACACTGATCAGTGTCACTCACCACCACACTGAGCGGCATCACTCACCACCACACCGATCAGTGTCACTCACCACCACACCGATCAGTGTCACTCACCACCACACTGATCAGTGTCACTCACCACCACACTGATCAGTGTCACTCACCACCACACCGATCAGTGTCACTCACCACCACACCGATCAGTGTCACTCACCACCACACTGATCAGGGTCACTCACCACCACACCGATCAGTGTCACTCACCACCACACCGATCAGTCTCACTCACCACCACACTGAGCAGTGTCACTCACCACCACACTGATCAGTGTCACTCACCACCACACCGATCAGTGTCACTCACCACCACACCGATCAGTGTCACTCACCACCACACTGAGCAGTGTCACTCACCACCACACTGATCAGTGTCACTCACCACCACACTGATCAGTGTCACTCACCACCCCTCACTCACCTAGAGGGAGGTGGCAGATCTGGAGCTGCCCAACGGGCGGTGCGGCGCGGCGACGCAGAGCGGACCGGAGCGCGGTGGACAAGTGGTGACCTACGAGTGGGTGAGTCTCCTCCCTACAACACCTCCACCATGACCACCACTGTCGTGTCCACCATCACCACCAGCACAACCACCACCATCACCACGATCATCGCCACTACCATTGCCACTACCACCTACAACAATAACTGCCATTTGCCACTAAGTGATGGTGACGTCACCACGGCGCTTGTGCCAGGCCAGGTGCACTTTGAGGCCACGTGAAATATGAAGGCCCTCTGGCACGAGGTCATGAAACAAACCCAGGTGCCATAGGTGGACTGACTGAGATGGCTGGGCGATGCACCAGCTGTGTCCCCTACTGTGCATTTTAGCCACTTGGAGCTCCGCTCATTTTTGTGAGCATTGCTCCTCTGTCATCCATTGTTGTTGGAAGGCGACTGCCTCCAACTGCCCAGTAGCATCCTTCACGAGCATCCTCCACAGAGGCCGATCTTGACACTGCTAGTATCAGTGTTGGGAAAATCCACTCAGCTCCACATCCTTCTGTAACGCATCAGTCTCTCTGTTTTCTAGCCCATTCCGAGCCCATTTAGCCCCCTCTTTCCAGCCAAACAAGCTGCTTGGACATGCGGTGGCTGGGCATGCGGGCTTCATGACCCAGCTAATGGAGCCTTGCCTGCTGGAGTAGCTCACCGATGGGACTGTGTCCAGATCTTCAAATGATCTGTGAGCTTCTCACAAAATTCAGCCTGGTTGAACCCAGGATGGATTGTAGATAAGCCAGCCTTAAAATTTTAAACCGGCATAGATGCTCCACTAGAGAAGGGAGGGCATAACTGTGGCCAAGAAGACCTGAAGCTTCATGTGGAGCAACTGTACAGACAGCTTCCTCACAGCATTATGCAGCTGATGAAGAGATAATGCTGCTGAATTGATTTGGAGTGAGACCTCTGCAGCTTAACCGAACCTGGTCATAAGGACGTTGCCCAAGTATGGGAACTCCTCCACTCTCTCCACAACTGCATCGATCAGCCTCAGCCATCGATCAGCCTCCAATTGTATCTGTACCAGATGGAAATTCCTCTGGTACATCCATAGAAAGCGTCTCAAATTATTGGTCGAAGATCATGTTAAATTGTGTAGGGGGCAGAGGACATCCTTGTCACACCCCAAGGTGAATGGGGAATGGCTCTTGATTCCCTCAGCAGTTTTTGCTTGGGAGGTCATCTCAGCATGGCACCCCACCTGCTCTCAGCACCTGATGGTGATGTGTAATGTGATGATTGGCGATGTTGTGCGATGTGATGATGACGATGTGCGATGTCATGCATCAGGCCAGGGACCTCATGGGCAGCTACCAGACCGGTGTGCTGGAGCACTCGGCCAAGATGGTTTTGCTCTTCCACTTGGTGGAGGAGAGCGTGCGACACGGGGACAAGATCCTTGTCTTCAGGTGCGGCGGCCTGTCCCCGCGTCTGCCTGTCCCCGGGTCTGCCTGTCCCCTCGTCTGCCTGTCCCCGCGTCTGCCTGTCCCCGGGTCTGCCTGTCCCCTGGTCTGCCTGTCCCCGCGTCTGCCTGTCCCTACATTTGTCTGTCCCTGTGTCTGCCTGTCCCCGCGTCTGCCTGTCCCCGCGTCTGCCTGTCCCCACGTCTGCCTGTCCCCTCGTCTGCCTGTCCCCGCGTCTGCCTGTCCCTACATTTGTCTGTCCCTGTGTCTGCCTGTCCCCCCGTCTGCCTGTCCCTGCTTCTGCCTGTCCCTACATCTGCCTGTCCCTACGTCTGCCTGTCCCTACGTCTGCCTGTCCCCGCGTCTGCCTGTCCCTACGTCTGCCTGTTCACTGCGTCTGCCTATCCGTGGTGAGGAGTGTGGCGATGACGGGTGGTGATGGTGGTGGTCGTGAGGAGGAGGAGGAGGAGCAGGGTCTTGGTGGCGGCTGTGGTGATCTCTCACGTGCCCCTTGCCCCCGCTCTATTGGTCCTGCAGCCAGAGTCTGTCCACTCTGGACATCATCGAGGCGTTCCTGAGCCAGAGGAAGATCCCCACCGTCTCGGGTTCGGCCTCCCCCTCTGCCCCCTCTGCCCCCTCGGACCCCTCGGACCCCTCGGCCCCGTCGGCCTCGTCAGCGCCGCCCGCGGAGACCCAGGTGCCCCCAGCAGCCTCCTCGCCCACCGGCCTCGTATGGAGCAAGAACGTCAACTACTTCCGTGAGAACAATCGCCGCACACAAAACGTTATTTGTGCGCGCTTCCGGGTTTGGCGGAACCCGCCAATGTCAGGGGGTGGTGGGGGGCAACTCTATTTTTACTATTATATTTTTGGTTCTTTCGGTAAAGTCACGTAGAAGGGAAACAATAAAATAATTAAAAATATAAAACAATAAAATTATCACGACGTTTTGACTGCAACACAAGCAATCATCATCAGGTGTGAAAACCACGGCAAGAAAATTTGAAAAAAGTGGCGTTTTTTTTTTACGTTAGCACTATTTTTTTTATATTACTGTGTAAGGCACACTGAGCGATGTAGCTCTTTTTCAGAAGTGACCTGGCCACAAATTAAAGCTCAACGAAGTGGCTTATCACGTGGAAATTTATAGCAGCCAAATATTCTAAACGCGTGTTTCTAAATGTGGAGGGAAAAACCGAAGGACCCGGAGAATAATCCACGCAAACACGGGGGGAACATGCAAACTCCAAATATACAACAGGCGTTGGTGTCGGGTTCGAACTCACGACCTCCTGCAAACCAGGCGAGTTAATTAACATCTCGTCGCCGTGGCGAGATGTGATGGCGTGGAACGTTTCGAGGCCCTGTCCGGATTGTTGGCCTTTGCTGGGAGTCGAGACAGAAAAAGTATGAAAATGACGAGCAGCTCACAAATCGTTTTAGTTGTTGAGATCGTTTAACGTGGTGAGAACTCAAGAGACCAGGATGAGTCTCATTTGCAAAAGAGATGAACCCAGGACATCATTCTGCCACCGGAGGGCGATGATTGCTGCGTGTACAATTCTAATTAAGCAATTTGCGCGGTAATATTTGAATTTGGAAAATGTGTGGACCCTGACGCGGGCACACACAATGTCCTTCTCTTTGCGAATTACGCCCGAGGATGTTAGCTTCACCGCAAAGCGGATGGCACGTAGCACTATTAAGATGTTTTACACCCGCAGTAGTAACCAGGGCGGCCGCCAGTTTCCAACCGTGAACATCTGCAGCAAACACGCTTACCCCTGGGCTATCGCGTGATCGACCGTAGAGAGAATTAGGTGAGTCTCGGAGGTCCACGACCGTTGATGCGTTCAGCGTGAGCGGAATTGCGTCTCTCACTCTACGCAGGACTGGATGGCAGCACAGCCACCTCGGAGCGGGAGAAACTCATCAACCAGTTCAACAACCCCCTCAACAGCAGCGTGTGGCTCTTCCTACTCTCCACCCGGTGAGCGCCACTCTCCGGCGAGACGCGCAGAAACGTGCCGAGTTCTTTGTGTGCCCGTGTGTATATGCCTGTGTGTGCACGCACGTCCGTGTGTGTTTTGGTGCTTGTGGTTGTGCATGTGTATGTATATGGTGAACGGTGGGGTAGCGATTAGCGCGCTGGGCTGCGAAACTGGGGACCCGAGTTAATTGCCCGCTAACGGCCAACATCTGGCTACGATTATCTGAATCAGTCCTGGGCCTCCCCTAGGTCAATTCTGCTCTCAAGTGAGTACCTGGTGCGGTGTGTAAACATCGCCACTAAGACAGCCGGGTGTAGTTCTGGCCACCTACCCCTTCGTGCGCCGTGCTGGCCTTCTTGGTGTGCTCGCTTGCACTTGCTCCTACACTCTGTGAAGGCTATGCCGGGGGATCTTTGTGTGTGTGTGTGCGTGTAGGGCCGGGTGCCTGGGCATCAACCTGATTGGGGCGAACCGCGTGGTGATCTTCGACGCGTCCTGGAACCCGTGCCACGACGCGCAGGCCGTGTGCCGCATATTCCGCTACGGCCAGGTCAAGCCGTGCTTCGTGTACCGCCTCGTGTCCGACTTCACGCTTGAGAAGAAGATCTACGACCGGCAGATCTCCAAGCAGGGCATGTCCAGTAAGACATCCATAACAGGCAGACAGGGGCGCACCTATACGTGGCAGCGTCATGCAATGTGTAGGGGTCCAGTCGGCCACAAGGGGGCCCCGAATCAACAGATAAACAAGTAACACAAAATGTCAAGGAAAATTATTCAAATAAAAAAAGAGAAACAATTACCTCCGGTCTACTATGGGCCAAGCCCGATTAGCCGCATCCGACTATCATATCAATAGAGCAGCACAAAGTTGCGCAGTCCACCCCGTTTGAGGCATGAAAACAAGATGCACGATAACTTTGAGCATTATAACCTTAACATTTTTTGTATTAATACCGTCACTGTGAGACTCTCTTCCTCTAATCCCAACACACGGTGCAGCATCTAAAATATCATTTATAGTTATAGCCTACAGAGTATTGTATACAGGTTAAAAACATCCATAGCTATTTCAGTAAAAGTGAGTCTGGGAGAAAATAGGGGGGGGGGCACAGTCATATCTTGCATAGCCCCTTTGAAATAGGTCGTTGTGCCCCCTGCAGGCAGATCTCCAAGCAGGGCATGTCCTGTCAGACCGCTATGACCGGCAGATCTCCAAGCAGGGAATGTTCAGTAAGACCTCCTAGACCCTCAACAACCCTTGCTCATGTGCTGTCGTTAAATAGGTAGAAGTACCAACACTTTACCCCACCGCACGTAACCTGTCCATCATCGGTGGTGTTTGTTCATTTCTCAATCCGCTTGTCCTGGTGAGGATCATGGCGGCAGTGCATTGGGTAGGGCGGTCCTGACCTCCCATTCCCTGGCGATGACTCTTGCTATCCCTGGGGAATTCCCAGGCGTTCCCAGGCCAGCTAAGCGACAGTTCCACCAGCGTGTCCTGGGCTGCCCCGTGATCTTCACCCAGTGGACCTTGGCAATGGATCATTGGTGGTGTACACCTTTATAGTGATGTTTGAACAGAGGTGGAGGCATTGACGAGACTTGCCCATTGTTTCAACACCGTGCGTATACGGTGCGTGTGTGTGTATGATGCGTGTGTGTGTACGGTGCGTGTGTGTGTACGGTGCGTGTGTGTACGGTGCGTGTGTGTGTATGATGCGTGTTTGTGTACGGTGCATGTGTGTGCATGGTGCGTATACGGTGCACTTGTGTGTTCAGTGTGTGTACGGTACTGTGTATGCGGTGCGTGTGTATGTACGGTGCATGTGTGTGTGCGTGTACGGTTGCGTGTGTGCAGACCGTGTGGTGGACGACATGAATCCCGTGTTGAACTTCACGCGCCACGAGGTTGAGAATCTGCTGCACCTGGTGGAGGAGGAGGAGGCGGCCCCCGTGGACCTCCCCTCCATTGCGCAGCGCCACCACGACCCGCTCCTCCGCACCGCCTGCCTCCAGCACAGCCGCCTGCTCACCAAGGTACCACTTGCCGGGGCAACCGTTAACCGGGGTTACCGTCCATGGTAACCGCTCACCGGGGTAACCACTTACCAGGGCAACCGCTCACCATGATAACCACTCACCGGAGTAACCACTGACCAGGGCAACCGCTCACCAGAGTGACCACTCACCAGGGTAACCGCGCACCAGTGTAACACGCACCACAGTGAATCAGGCAACGCCTAGTAGTTTGTGGTTGTTACAACCGCAGTGATAACCAGGGAGGCCTGCCAGATTCAAATCGCGAACCTCAACGCAGCAAGCGGTGATGGGCGCCGCCCTACGGTGCGACGTCAACGCAACGGGGATCACGACCCCTGACCCCCGCAGGAGCCGTTCACGCACGAGTCTCTGCTGATGGAGCGCTCCGAGTACCGGCTCACGCCGGCCGAGAAGCGCCTCGCCAAGAAGAGCTACGAGGACGAGAAGCGCGCGTGCGTGCCCTACCAGCGGCCCAGCTACGCCCAGTTCTACCCCAGCGTGGCCAGCAGCCTCAGCAGCCTCACCGCCTTCACGCAGCAGCAGCAGCAGCAGCACCACAGGTGCGGCCGTGCGCAGCAGCGGAGCCACGCAGAAGCCTCCTGTGGCCGGGCGCTCGTCGGTCCCGGTGCAGGAGGCCGGCGGCGGCGGTGGTGGTGGTGGCGTGGATACTCGCAGTGAGCAGCCCCCTGCCGCCCCGGGTTTGATTCCAGACCCGTGCGCCATTCTGTGCAGAGTTTGTACATTCTCGCTCTCTCTACCACCCTACTCTTACGCGTGGCTTTCCTCCAGGTTCTCCGGTTTCCTCCCACAAGCTGAGAAACAAAGCAAAAACATGCATTGTAACTGGTAAAGTCACGTAGGTATAGAATAAAATAACATAAATCACGACGTTTTGATTGCAACACAAGCAATCATCATCAGGTGAGAAAACCACAGCAAGAAATTTGTTTTGCTGAAGTGGGAGAGAGAGTTGCCGTGGTAAGAGGTTATACAGGCAAGGAAGGGGGAGGAGCAAGGGGTACTACTACTCCACGCAGCACTCCGCCTACCCCACACCCCCACCCCTCCCTCTCCTCCCCTTGCCCCTCCCCCTTCCTTGCCTGTATAACCTCTTACCACGGCAACTCTCTCTCTCCCACTTCAGCAAAAACATTTCTTGCTGTGGTTTTCCCACCTGATGATGATTGCTTGTGTTGCAATCAAAACGTCGTGATTTTATTTATTTTATTTTCTACCCACGTGACTTTACCGAAAGAACCAAAGGGTATGGATCCCTGCAGTCACGAAAACTTAAAATCTAGATTGTAACTGGTGTTGGTCAAACATCCCTATTGCAGGACTCTCCTGAAAAAGAGGCTTTGGGCTTGCTTGATCATATTACCAAACAATCTATGAAACTTTATTTTTTTTTACCAGGTAAGGGCCCACTGAGCTATGAAGCTCTTTTTCAGAAGCGACCTGGCCGTAAATGATAGCTCAACAAAGTGGCTTATCATGTGGAAATTTACAGCAGCCAAATAATCTAAACACATTTATAAATGTGGAGTGAAAAACCGGAGGACCCAGAGACACATCTCGGGAAGAACATGCACCCTCCAAATATACAGACTTCAAGGTTGGAATCCAACCTCCGACCTCCTGTATACCAGGCGAGGTAGTAATTTTAAAAAAATGGCGAGAGTTATTAAACGATGACCGGGAAACTGGTAACCTCTTCCAGAATCGGTTCTGAAAGCCAAGAACCAAGTGAAGCTACAGCAACAGACATTTTAACAACCGTAGACAAGACGCCCCCCGTGGCTGTGTTGCGCACCGCACGCGCGCGTGCCTCGGTGTGAAATGTGTTTTGGCGGTGGCGAGGAGAAGCGGGCGCGCCGTCTGTGGTTGTGCCTCCCGCGAGCACCTCCGCCACGGCTTGTGACCGCGCCCGCGCGCGTCGCCATGTGTGTGTTCGTGTGTGTGTGTGTGATGCGCAACCCCGACCCCGGCCCAGGCTCTCAATGCACGCGGGCCTCAAGAGCCGCCCCGTGGCCAACGTGCCGCCCATGCAGACGACGCCCGTGCCCATGCTGCCCCGCGTGGTGCCCGCTGGGTCCGGCCTCGCCCCCGGCGTCCTCAACCCCGCCGCGCTTACCATGAGCTCCCTGCAGCGCGCCGGCGTCAACGTGCAGAGGATCGTCACGACCACCGGTAGCGCGGTGCAGCGCCAGCGCGGCCAGCGCACCGCACGCACGCACACATCAACAACCGCCATTCGCCACGAAGTGTCCGTGACGTCACTATAGCGCTTGTGCCAGGCTAGGTGCACTTTAAGTGTCGACCGGTCACTAGCAGGTCACGGGACAGACCCAGGTGTCATGGGTTGACTGGCCGATGCACCACCTGGTACGCACACATGTGCGAAATACACACACCTCATACACACACACACACACCTCATACACACACACATACCTCATACACACACACACATACCTCATACACACACACACACCATACACACACACACATCATAGACACACACACACCTCATACGCACACACACCTCATACGCACACACACCTCATACGCACACACACCTCATACGCACACACACCTCATACACACACCTCATGCACACACCTCATACACACACATACACACACACACCTCATGCACACACACCTCATACACACACACCTCATACACACACCTCATGCACACATACCTCATACACACACACATCATACACACACATCATACACACACACACATCATACACACACACACACATCATACACACACACACCTCATACGCACACACACCTCATACGCACACACACCTCATACACACACCTCATACACACACATACACACACACCTCATACACACACACACACACCTCATGCACACACACCTCATACACACACACACCTCATACACACACACCTCAAACACACACACACACCATATACACAAACACACCTCACACCCACACCACATACACACACCTCGTACACACACAAACACCTCATACACACACAACTCATACACACACACCTCATACACACACAAACACCTCATACACACACACATACCTCATACACACATACCTCATACACACACACACACCATACACACACACACACATCATACACACACACACACCTCATACGCACACACACCTCATACGCACACACACCTCATACGCACACACACCTCATACGCACACACACCTCATACACACACCTCATGCACACACCTCATACACACACATACACACACACACCTCATGCACACACACCCCATACACACACACCTCATACACACACCTCATGCACACATACCTCATACACACACACATCATACACGCACATCATACACACACACACATCATACACACACACACACATCATACACACACACACCTCATACGCACACACACCTCATACGCACACACACCTCATACACACACCTCATACACACACATACACACACACCTCATACACACACACCTCATGCACACACACCTCATACACACACACACCTCATACACACACCTCAAACACACACACACCATATACACAAACACACCTCACACCCACACCACATACACACACCTCATACACGCACACCTCGTACACACACAAACACCTCATACACACACAACTCATACACACACACCTCATACACACACAAACACCTCATACACACACACACCTCATATACACACCTCATTCACCTCATACACACACACCTCATACACACACACACCTCATACACACACCTCATACACACACACCTCGTACATACACACACACACCTCATACACACACACCTCATACACACACACACACACACACCTCATATACACACCTCATTCACCTCATACACACACACCTCATACACACACACACACCTCATACACACACACACCTTATACACACACACCTCATACACACACACACCTCGTACATACACACACACACCTCGTACATACACACACACCTCATAAACACACACCTCATACACACACACACACCTCGTACACACACACACACCACATACACACACACACATACACACACACACACCTCATACACACACACACCTCATACACACACACCTCGTACATACACTCACACCTCGTACATACACACGCCTCGTACATACACACACCTCATACACACACACCTCGTACATACACACACACACACACCTCGTACATACACACACCTCATACACACACACACCTCATACACACACACACACACCTCATACACACACATACACACACACACACCTCATACACACACACACCTCGTACATACACACACACACACCTCGTACATACACACACACGCCTCGTACACACACACACCACATACACACACACACACACCTCATACACACACACACCTCGTACACACACACACCACATACACACACACACACCTCATACACACACACACCTCATACACACACACCTCACACACACACCTCGTACACACACACCTCATACACACACCTCACACACACACCTCGTACACACACACACCTCGTACACACACCACATACACACACACACACCTCATACACACACACCTCACACACACACCTCGTACACACACACCTCATACGCACACACACCTCATACACACACCTCATGCACACACCTCATACACACACATACACACACACACCTCATGCACACACACCTCATACACACACACCTCATACACACACCTCATGCACACATACCTCATACACACACACATCATACACACACATCATACACACACACACATCATACACACACACACACACATCATACACACACACACCTCATACGCACACACACCTCATACGCACACACACCTCATACACACACCTCATACACACACATACACACACACACCTCATACACACACACACACCTCATGCACACACACCTCATACACACACACACCTCATACACACACACCTCAAACACACACACACCATATACACAAACACACCTCACACCCACACCACATACACACACCTCGTACACACACAAACACCTCATACACACACAACTCATACACACACACCTCATACACACACAAACACCTCATACACACACACATACCTCATACACACATACCTCATACACACACACACACCATACACACACACACATCATACACACACACACCTCATACGCACACACACCTCATACGCACACACACCTCATACGCACACACACCTCATACGCACACACACCTCATACACACACCTCATGCACACACCTCATACACACACATACACACACACACCTCATGCACACACACCCCATACACACACACCTCATACACACACCTCATGCACACATACCTCATACACACACACATCATACACGCACATCATACACACACACACATCATACACACACACACACATCATACGCACACACACCTCATACGCACACACACCTCATACGCACACACACCTCATACACACACCTCATGCACACACCTCATACACACACATACACACACACCTCATGCACACACACCCCATACACACACACCTCATACACACACCTCATGCACACATACCTCATACACACACACATCATACACGCACATCATACACACACACACATCATACACACACACACACATCATACACACACACACCTCATACGCACACACACCTCATACGCACACACACCTCATACACACACCTCATACACACACATACACACACACCTCATACACACACACACACCTCATGCACACACACCTCATACACACACACACCTCATACACACACCTCAAACACACACACACCATATACACAAACACACCTCACACCCACACCACATACACACACCTCATACACGCACACCTCGTACACACACAAACACCTCATACACACACAACTCATACACACACACCTCATACACACACAAACACCTCATACACACACACACCTCATATACACACCTCATTCACCTCATACACACACACCTCATACACACACACACCTCATACACACACCTCATACACACACACCTCGTACATACACACACACACCTCATACACACACACCTCATACACACACACACACACACCTCATATACACACCTCATTCACCTCATACACACACACCTCATACACACACACACACCTCATACACACACACACCTTATACACACACACCTCATACACACACACACCTCGTACATACACACACACACCTCGTACATACACACACACCTCATAAACACACACCTCATACACACACACACACCTCGTACACACACACACACCACATACACACACACACATACACACACACACACACCTCATACACACACACACCTCATACACACACACCTCGTACATACACACACACCTCGTACATACACACGCCTCGTACATACACACACCTCATACACACACACCTCGTACATACACACACACACACACCTCGTACATACACACACCTCATACACACACACACCTCATACACACACACACACCTCATACACACACATACACACACACACCTCATACACACACACACCTCGTACATACACACACACACACCTCGTACATACACACACACGCCTCGTACACACACACACCACATACACACACACACACACCTCATACACACACACACCTCGTACACACACACACCACATACACACACACACACCTCATACACACACACACCTCATACACACACACCTCACACACACACCTCGTACACACACACCTCATACACACACCTCACACACACACCTCGTACACACACACCTCGTACACACACCACATACACACACACACACCTCATACACACACCTCACACACACACCTCGTACACACACACCTCATACACACACACACCTCGTACACACACACACCTCGTACACACACACACCTCATACACACACACACACCTCGTACACACACACACACCTCATATACACACACACCTCATACACACACCTCGTACACACACACACACCTCGTACACACACACACACCTCATACATACACACACACACACCTCGTACACACACACACACCTCATACACACACCTCATACACACACACCTCATACACACACCTCATACACACACACACCTCATACACACACACACCTCATACACACACCTCATACACACACTCACCTCATACACACACTCACCTCATAGA